TGTTGGCGGTTCGGTTGTTGTGCTGGTTGCGGGTGCAGTGGTTTGTGTGACCGCTGCTTTTGTTTGCGCGTGTTGCGTTGCTTGCATGTGCTTGTGTTCTTTGTGCTGGCGGTTTCGTTGCTCTGGCACCAGTCTTTCCCCTTGTTTCTGACATCCTCGAGGCTGGGGGGGGGGGGGGGGCCTCGCTGAGAGCCCCCAACACCTCGCCATCACTCTGCCCGGGAAGACCTCGCTCAGAGCCCCCAGCGGCTCGCGAGGCGCCTCGGGGCTGAGTCGGAACTCGGGGCCGAGACCTGCGAGGCATCGCGCTGCCTCGTCGTCGCGGGCTTGCAGAGGTGCCCGCGCTTGTTATCATCAAGCTTCTTGCCCTCGAGCGCGGCCATCTTGTCGTCGAGCTTCTTGACCTCGAGCGTGGCCTTTTTGTCGTCAAGCTCCTTGTCTTCGAGGCTCTTGTCCTCGGGTTTGATGGCGCCCTCCCCCAGCGCGGTGGGTTCCGCCCCCCTCGCCCACTCGTAGCCCTTCGCCCACTCGCCGACGCTCTCGTTGTCCGACCGCTCGGAGACAGGCCGGCGCTCAGGTCATGGCGCGCTGCGTCCTCAGGTGGCTTAGAATGTTGGAGCTTAAGTTGGCCAAGATTGTCTGTTGTTCGTGATATTTGCCTTGCTGCTGTCCTTGTTTGTCTTGTTGTTTTTGTTCATCTTGTCGGATTGCTGCTGTTTGCGAGCGCGCGGGGGTGCAGCTGTTGTTTGTTATCCCTGTTGGTTGTCTTGGCGCCTGCTGTTGCTACTGTTTTGCAGTTTGCTCTTGCGGTCGTTGATGATGTTGTTTGTGTTTGTGTTATTGTGTGTGTGTATCTGTGCGTGCGCGTGTGCGTGCAAGCGTGTGTGTGTGTGTGGGAGCATGCGCGCGCGTGTGCGCGTGCGCGTGCGTGTGTGCGTGCGTGCGTTGGTGCGTGCGTGTGCGTGTGTGTGTGTGTGCGTTGGTGTGTCTGCGTGCGCGCGCGCGCGCGTGCGCGCGCGTTTGCGCGCGCGCGCGTGGCCGCCAGGCATCGAGGCTCAACCCTCGACCCTCGGAAAGACGACCCAATATCCTAGAGTCTAAGCTTGGCGACCCTCGGGTCTACGATCCGAGGTGCTTGCATCTGCTCCAGAGCTAGACCTCGGGCACTCGATCCGAGGATGGAGGATCGACCCTGCTCGGCGGCAGTGCGGGCCCGTGGACGACTGGAGAAGCATTGAGCCCCCCCCCCTCGAGCCTCGGATTTCAAACCCGAGATCTCCCAGTCCAAGCTTGGCGACCCTCGGATCTAGGGTCCGAGGTGCTCGCAGATGCTCGAGACCAAGATCTCGGACCCTCGATCCGAGGATGGAGGGTCGAGCCCGCGCGGTGGCAGCGCGGGCGCGAGGGCGGCGGGAGGGGCGACCTACCATCGCCGAGGCTCGGCCCTCGAGCCTCGGACGTCGAAACCGCGATCTCCTACTCCAAGCTTGGCGACCCTCGGATCTAGGATCCGAGGTGCTCGCAGATGCCCGAGACCAAGATCTCGGATCCTCGATCCGAGGATGGAAGGTCGAGCCGGCTCAGCGGCAGCGCAGGCCCGAGGGCGGCGGGGGGGGGGCGATCTACCATCGCCGAGGCTCGGCCCTCGAGCCTCGGATGCCGAGCCCGAGATCTTCCAGTCCAGGCTTGGCGACCCTCGGATCTAGGATCCGAGGTGCTCGCAGATGCTCGAGGCCGCGGTCTCGGGCCCTCGATCCGAGGATGGAGGGTCGAGCCTGCTCGGCGGCAGTGCGGGCTCGAGGACGGCGGCGAGGGCGATCTACCATCGCCCATTCTCGGCCCTCGAGCCTTGGGTGTCGAACCCGAGATCTCCGAGTCCAAGCTTGGCGACCCTCGGATCTAGGACCCAAGGTGCCCGAAGATGATCGGACTCAAGATCTCGGATCGTCGATCCGAGGTTGCAGGGCCGATCCCACTTGAGTCCTTGATGATTGATCGAGGATCACTCGGCGAGAGGGGGGAGCAGCGCCCCGCAGCTTGGAACGCCACTCGCGCGTGCTCGAGCGCTCTCTTGGAGCTTGAGAAGCAGATGGGGCTCGAGCGCGCGCCTCGAAACGGCGCCCTCGTAGCAAAAACCACGGGGCGATTGGCTCGGGGAGCCCGTGCGCTCAGGAGTCCACGAGCATGAACGAGGCGGGCTCTGACTCGGCCTTCGTGCCGGCCTGGCTGCTCTCGTCATCGCGCTCGTTCATGTCGAGCTCGTCGCGCTCTTCCTGGATCGACGCATACTTGCCGAAGTGCAGCTTGATGGGGTTCTCGAGACGCACCTCCTCGCGCCTCTGCTGCTTGACGGTGATCGAGTGGTCCCGCATGGCGCGCTTGTCTCGGTAGCTGCGTTCGTGCAGCTCGTAGCTCATGGTCGCGGCCTTCTTGATGCACCAGCGCCACCTGCTGATGGCTAGGGCCGTAGCCATGGCGACCCCGTCGGTCGCCACCGAAACCGTGGAGGTCTCGTTGCGCCACCTGACATACTCGCGGGCCCTGCGCGGAATCACGTTGAAGCACTCTCGGCGGGCATCTCGCACAAGTGCTCGACGGGCTCGGACTTTTTGTTGATCGGCAGCACTAGCTCGTGGAGGTGGAGGAGCTCGGCGGGGATGCTTGGGAGGGCCAACCCGATGGGCTCGGCGTCAGAGCCGTGGGTCAGCTTCTCGACCTTCTCGGCGCCGAGCTCCATGTCTCTATTCCTGGCGAACTCCTGCGGCGTGGCCTTGGAGGCCGGCATGGGCCAGAAGAGTCCTCGGGCGGCTCTCCGTGGTTCTCGAAGATGTTGCACGCGTGCTGCTTCTTCTTCTTCTCGACGTTGGTCTTGAACACCGCCGCGGCCAGCTCGATACGCCTCTTGTCTTCTCGTTGACAATGTGGCCGTGCTCGATGCTCTTGCGGCGCCCGCCTTGATAGACCATCTCCAGCGCGGCCTGCTGGGCGCTCGACGACCGCGAGGCGCTCTCGGCCTTGAAGTAGCAGCTCGCCATCCTCGCTGCATCCGTGCCTTGCGCGCTCGACTGGCACTGGCGCATCTCGGCGATGCTGACTTTCTCGGCGATGTAGCTCAGTGTCTCGATGCTCTTCTCGTTCCGCTTGGCCATGCGCCCCAGAATCTCGTTCGAGCTCGGGCTCGGCGCCGCCGCGTGCTTCAACGCCTCGACGGGCAGGCTCGCGGCAGCTGCGCGCTCGGAGGGCTGGGCCATCGCTGGGGCTCGCGACGCAGTCAGGGGCAACGATGTGAAGGGATGGGCATAGGGGGGGGGGACATCGACCTGGGATCGGCGCTGCATCGCCGATGCATCGGCGATGCGCGCCCGATGCATTTGCGATGTATCGCAGATTCCAAGTCGATGTCCCCCCAAGAAAAAAAACTACGCATCGGCGATACATCGCCGATGCATAGACATGCCGCGCCTATCCCCCCCCTATCGCTGCCCCTGGGGTCTAGAGGCTCGGCGCCTCGAACAGGCCCGAAAGCTTGGAGTCTCGGGAACTCGGAGAAGCTCGGGCCCGGGCAGCTGCGGGGGCAGAGGGGGGGGGCAGGAGAAGAAGAAGAGAAGGAGGAAGGGCCACGAACCGTGAGGGGTGCGCTAAAAAAGTAATGCGCTTAACTAACTAACTAACTCCAATGCTCTGCCTGCTCGAAAAAACGCATGCGCAATCAAAATCCAATCGGTCCCTATGGCCCTGCCACACGTTCCCGACTCGGGAACGGCTCGAAAAATGAGAACCCCATGGCCATGCCGCACGGTCGTAACGTGGGCAAACTGAACTGGTGAGAATCCGACAGCCCTGCCACACGCCCGTGACTGCGGAAGCTAATGTGGCGAGACCAGCATGGCCATGCTCAGCGTTTTTGGTGCTGTTGCTAATCAGCACGACATGATAGCAACTTCGATCCCCGCAATTTGCTAAGTGATTATCAAGTTCGGCCCCCGCGCCTTCCCCACAGATGAATCCCTGCAGGCGGGGATAAAACATAGAGAGGGTTAACAGGGGGGCACCTTTTATTACCGCCCGCACTCGGTTAATTGCGAGGACGACTCATTCCGCGAGCACGGGCATGCATGCCGCTGCCGCCATGGAGGCGGACGAGGCCGCACTGGGGGTGGAGACCGCCCGACCTCCTCCCAATCCCCCCCTCCGCCAGCGTCTCAGCTTTCGAAGAAACTCCGTCTGTTAATTCAACATCGGAGGGAGGCGGCCCGGAAGAAGAAGTGGCAGCGACATCGTGCTGTGCTGCACTCGGACTCGTGCCCGCCCTCGATCCTTTTTTCCGACAGAGGGCCCAAACTGAGTAGGACCCATTCTGCTATCTTACAACAACCTATAGTTCGTTTGCTTCAGAAACCACCGGCAACTTTTAGTCGCATACTGATACCGATACTGATATATCTCGATATGCCTTGCGCTGCCTGATCCTGCTATGTGCACCGTTCTAGAAACTGATCACCAAACGCTTGACGCGTGTACATTAGCTTGCATCGCACGTCGAGGAGGCCGCACTGACAGCTCGGGCCCGCGCGCCCGTGTTCTGTCTGAAAAACAAGGATAATGGTGGGCGGAGGGAGGATACTGAGGACGACGACGACGACAAATGGGGGAGATGAAACACGGCAAGGCTGAGACGGAGGAGGAGCGGGAGGAGCAGGAGGAACAATATCGCGGGGCAGCCAGAGGAGCAGCAGCAATATGAGGATCTGGACAAGCGGGGCGGCGCGACGAAGGATAGGAGGACGGCGAGGATGAGCTGAGGTGGAAGCAGCAGGAGGAAAATATGTGTTACACCGACCACCTTAGGACAGAGCAGGAGCAGGGCAAGAGGAAAAGGAATAACAGAGCAGGAGGAACATAAGTATGTTTTACAGCGACCACCGTAGGATAGAGCAGGAGCAGGGCAAAAGGAACAGGAATAACAAAGCAGGAGGGAAGAATAATAAGAGGAGCGCGGCCAGGAGAACGCGTTGCTGACGCGGGCCCAGAAGACGCCGCCGCCCGGGGCGACCAGGCTGCCGCGCAGGGGTGCGCCGGCCACCACGGCGGTCTCCTGCGCCGGGCCGTCATCGTCGTCTTCGTCTGTACTGGTGTGGCACCGCGTGTCAATGCGACGCGAGCCTAGTGTAGGACGCGAAGGATGTCGTGATGATATTGGCTCAAGATGCGTGCCAAGAGTTCTAGTATCAAGCGGTCCTCGCTAATTGAGCCCATGCGGATCAGTAGGATATTGGAAACCCTGGAGCTCTTGCAAGGTATCATTACCGTTACCACTTGCTCATCTGATTGTGACCAGAACAGAATTGACTCACAACTGCTCCGAGAGTCCTGATGGGCCTGTCTTCCACCACCACCACCACCACAAGTTGGAGGGGGGAGGAGGAGGAGGAGGACGAAGAGGAGGACGAAGAGGAGGAGGAGGACGAAGAGGAGGAGGAGGAGGAGGAGGGGGAGGGGGAGGAGGGGACCCCCCTCCCTCTCCAACTGATGGTGCTGGTGGGACAACAGGCCCGTCAAGTCCGACCCCTCGGCGCCGGCCAATTCGCTCGCTTCGCGGCGCGAAGCCCTCGGGCGCCCGGCACGGGTCGCCCCCAGAATGCCCCGGTCAGCCCCGGGGTCAGCCCAGAGCTGGTCCGATTTTCAGGCGCGCCGCTGAGCTGGACAAGCTTTCGACGTCAAAAAAAACATAGCAACACTTATGACGCTTCACACGAAAGCACGCACGGCACAACGACGATGTGAACGCAATCGCATGAGCATGGTGGCAGGTGTGCCAACGATCTGCTTCATGCCCAGTGGCGGCAATGTGTTGGGTGGGGTAGAACATCGATGCTGCAAAAATAATCACGAACGAAAGTGAACGTTCTTGTTGCTTCTCTCCAGCGTAACGCCCTCCCCCCCCCCCGGGTAACGCTAACGATCTTGCTGTGGTGGGGGGGGGCTGCCCTCCCCCAATATGCTGGGAACGGACCCACCGCAGGGGTATGGCGCTGTGCTCACAGGCATGGCGTGGTTTGAACGGCACGCATTGGTGCTCACAAACGTATTGTGGCGCTCGTAGTCGTCGTCGTCGTCGTCGTCGTCGTCGTCGTCGTCGTCGACGTCGACGTCGTCGTCGTCTTCGTCGTTTTTGTCATCGTCGTCCAATGCAGCTGGCGATAGCTCCAGCTACCGCAGGCTGGTTCGACCACTCTTCTGCAAATGCAAAATGCGGTGGCTCTCGCTTCGTTCTGGCCGGTGTTTAGTTGCAGTGCGATACTGTCAACGCGCCTCATAAGAACGTGCGCCTTCTCCGGGGGAACCTTGTGTCCTTGCCTCTGCGGCCTGTCCTTTGCCGCTTTCATTGGCCAGCTTTTGCAAACAAACTCCAACTTCGGCTTCCAAGGCTCTTGCGTCCTTACCACCCGTCCTAAATGCACGTATCGATTGTAGACCCAGCGCCATGGAGAACATGAAGACTGGGCGGCCCCGCGCCTTCTCCCGCAGACGTTGTGGTGTGCGCAGGCGTTGTGGTTCACGCAAGCAGCGTGGTGCACACCGGCGCTGCGTTGCACACGGCTGCTGCAGATTACAATGGCGCTGTGGTGTACGCAAGAGCTGTGGTGCACGCAGGCAGTGTGGTGTACACCGATGCTGTGTTGCACGCGGCTGCTGTGGTGTACACAGGCGTTGTGATGTACGCAGGCATTGCGGTGCACGCGTGCAGAATCCCCAGGCGTTCCAAGTTTCATAGGGATCCTTTCAAAATTTGTATATAAAACGTTCGTTTTCTGCGGAATCCAGAGGCACCCCAATTTCTAGAGGGATTCCTTTATGAAACATAGGTTCTTCGGTGAACCAAGAGGCGCCTCGCTTTCCATAGCGATTCCTTTTCAAAGTCCAAATTAAACGTGGGATTCTGTGGAACCCAGAGGCGCTCCACTTTCCATAGGGCTTCTGTAAATAACCAGATAGTAAACACTAGTTGTCTGTAGAATCCTATTGTAAACAACGTTTGCTGCAGTATGCCCAGGCACTGCGGTGTGCATGGGCGACGTGGTGCTGCAGCGTACGCGGCTGCTGTGGTGTACGGAGGCATTGCGGTGTGTACACAAGTGGCGCCGTGTTGCACGCAAGCATTGGGCATTGTCGCGTACACAAGGAGTACGGTGCACACGGGTTGATCGATGCGCCGGTAGCGCGGACAAACCCTGGCGGGCGCACGCCGCAGCCGCTGTTACCGTTACCCTCCCGCCCGACCCCCCCCCGGTAACGCCCGTTACCCGGGAAAGAAAGAACAACGGCCACAAAATAGCCCGATACTCCTCCTCGTCCGCTCCTCCTCCTCCTCCTCCTCCTCCTCCTCCTCCTCCTCCGCCTGCTCTTTCCGCTTCTCATTCAATGACTTCTCCGCCTGCTCCTCCGGCTGCTGCCCCTCCGGGGGGGGGTGCACGCTCCCAGCCAAGCTTCGCTCGGACGGACTGACCCGCCTCCGCCTTCTCTCTCGAAGAAACAAAAACGCCATAAACATACACTTTTGGCGCTCCGAGCGAATGTCTTGGAGCCGCGCCAGACCCCCACGCACGCTGTGTGTGTTGGCGCTGCCTCTTCCTCGCCTCCCTGGAGGCACCAAAAAAGGTACCGATGCCGCGGGTTCGTGTCGTGTCGATCCCAGCGTCGGTTCCTGACACCGCGAGGATCGCTCAACCTTGAATTAGGTCAAGCAGACCCACCTACAGTCGGATTTGTGAGGCGAAATAAAAAAATGATCGAGCAATGCTCAAACATAGTCAACATTAGTAACAAAAATTGTGCTAGTACTATTTTTTGACTATGTTTGAGTACTCCTCGTGTAAAGGGACATGCCCGACTCAAACCTTGAACGATCGGCCGTTTCCCAAGTGTCCGATCGTTTAACATCGACCGAGTCTGGGTCGCCGGCGGCGTTCAGCGTTGAACGCCTGCGGCGGCGTTACCGCCGGTCGACACGACAATACCGCACCCACTGGACCTCTCCCGGGGTGCGTTCTGACCAAGATTTCGAGGCGCATCCAGCGGTGGCAAAACGAGGGACTCGCAGGAGGCCCCAAAAAGGTGACAACGGAAAGGGTAGAGGTATGGGTACCTTCTCCTTCTTTGACCACATCCCCTCTCTCCAACACCAGCCTCCTCCCTGTCCTCGTCCTGCTCGCCGTCGCACGTGTGACTTGCGTGCGCCGCGCCGTGGGGACGCCGCACTGTGCCGAGACGCTGGCGGCCATCCGGCGTCCGCCGCGCAGGTGGAGAGGCCCCGCCGCCGACGTCGACAGCGAGCGCACTCGGCGCTCCGCAGCTTTGAAAGGAGCACGCGGACCCGGCGGCGCCAATGTCGGGGCAGCCCAGCGCGATGGTACGGCCCAAACGGATAGTAAGTCGGCAGCGAGCGAGGGGGGTAATGAGAAGGAGAAGGCCTTCTCAGAAGGTGGCGGGACTTCTCAGAAGCCCTCGCACCTCCTGAAAAGGTGTCAGTCTTCGGGGAGAGCGAAAAACACTTCTAAGAAGGCCGGGGAACTTCCGAGACTTCTGAGAAGGCCCGCCCCTTTTCACTCCCCCCCCCCTCGCTCGCCGCCGATGATAAGAAGAATGCAGGACAAGGATGCCAGAGCCTTGGACGCGCATGTCGAAGCCTGTCGATCGGGGCTGGCCATCGTTTTTGTCAGTTTCCGGAGCGTTTGGGCGTTTGGGGAAGCGTGTCCAACCAACGGGTGCACGGGGCACGGGTCCAACAACTGCATGTTCATCTTCGTCACGGCGCAGCGGAGAGGCGACTGGGCGAGGACGGAAGGGCAGGCGAGGAAGGCGAGGCAGGAGGGAAGAGGCAGGCGGAGCAAAAGAGCAGAGAATAAGAAACCACTGCGCGACAACCTGCTGGGCCTCCTCGACGCCCTCGCGCCACCGAGGAGGCTAGGATGCCAGGGCACCCTTGGGAAGACGACCCTTACCGTCGGGTTCGACTGCAGTGCCTTTTTTTTCTGGGCGGGCGTCGGCATCGCCTGCCAGCGCGGTGTGCCCAGCAACCTCCGAAGCCGTGCTGTCGGCGTGGTCGCCCGGGAGAAGCGTTGTGGCAGCAGTCGGTGCGTGGGCAGCGACTGGTCAGGCCCCCCGCCCGTGAGTTTGCCCCGTACGGCGGGGGCCAGAGCTCGGCTTAAGTATGCGAGGCGAGGATTTCTCCATATCCACCCCCTGGGAAACGACGTCCTGGTGCCCCAGCGGGCGGTGGACATGGATATATTTCGGCCCCCGGGTGTTGGCGGAATCGGCGCAGCAGTAATATCAGGAAGTTCCGACGATGATATATCTTTTCACCACAACACGATGAATCCTATAATGTAACAGTCGCCACGGCCTCGCTAGCCGTGCTGAAAGGTGTGGCTCCCTGGGCCACGTCAAACAAATATAAGTGTATGAAACTCTCGCCCTTGGGCCAAATCCACAACAAAGAAGGGCTTCGGGCAGGTAGAGCACAGGACTGAATGTATATAGCTAACACCGGCTATACTCTTCTCAGTCCTGAAACTACATACATCGAGACCGAATGAGACTGCGAGTCGAATCAGAAAGAAAATAATCATCACACAAAGACTCCTGGCGGCCTCCACGGGTGCATCTGCGAAAGCACCCTTGCCGTCGCGCTGTCTCCGACGTCCACTTTGGAGCATCTCATCAAAAATACACTTCCAGCGCTGCGTGGTAAAAAATTATTCCATCACATGCCGAGCTGGATATCCCGGCTTCGTCAAACTGTCTGCTAACATAGCTAGACCATTCACCCATCTAAAAGAAACGTCCGTGCGCAAAATCTGCTCCTTAATGCCTCTGGCCTCCTCACCTGATCTGGAACTGCGCATACCCAGCTGAGGAGACACTGACTTCAAAGTCGCATCGTAAATGCCACGTGAATATGTAATTACCATGCCTGGTACTGTCTTGACTGTGTCGTCCAACTTCCAACGAGTCGGCTCAAGTCCATGTAACTCTGCCCACATCAATCTGGATAACCACAGCATCTCGTCACCGAGCGCGGTCGATTGCGTC